GTTGCAGCACTTGACTCCGCTCCGCGGGTCCCGCCAGGGCGCAGCCCCTGCCCTGCCCCCAGCTCCTAGCGGGGTGCGGGGATGGAGAGTGAGGCCCTCTCCTCGCAGACAGTTGCAGGTCAGGAGGTGTGGGAGTCTTGCCTTTCACCACCCAACCCGGCCAGACCCCGGGAAGCCCCGCGCCCGCGCGTGACCCGAAGAAGGGTCAGCAGGCGCCGGCTGGAGCCTCCCAGGTCCCCGCAAGTGTGAGGTGCGGGTGCCGGCAGCAAAGCGGTTGTGTCTTGGTTTCTCACACTCGCTGCTCCCATCCTTGTCCACACCCCCTCCGCCGCCTCCCACCAACTCCCCTAAGTGGGCTCCCTGTGATAGGGGGTTGATAGGAAGGAGCCGCTTTTAGAGAAAGTAACAGAATTCAAGAAAGAGTCCAGCCTCAGCAGGTTCCAGGACACAAAGGATAGGGTTCTGAATGCCACCCAGGGCATCACCCCTTCCCAGACTTTCCTTAAGTACATGGTGCCCATACTCAGTTCACCATCAAGCCTGAGCAGAGTCCAGGGAAGATGAAGGTTATGGTAAGAGAAGGTCTGATTTTCTGCGCAGAAGTACGAGAAAATGGTTCATTTCAGCCAGAATCACAAGTCCAGGGCCAGCTGCTTTCCAAGGGAAACCAGAAGGCTCACCAGGGCAGTAGGACCCCCAGAAGGAGTCCCAGCAGAGCCCAGCCAGCAGTAGTCGTCTCTAGCAGACACAGGAAGCCTTCTGGTCCAGCCCAGGTGTTGCCGCCCAAATTCTGCCCCAAGCAGGTCAGTGGTGTGAAGTGGAGTGGCTTTTACCAGGCATCACAGTCCTGGTGGTGTCTGCCCCCAGAGCAGGTGGCGCTGGTGATTGCGGGCATCACTGGGGGGCTGCTGCTGCTGCTGCTGTTGATTGGGGTAAGCTGCTGTCTCTGGAAGCAGTTTGGTGCCACATTCACCTATGAGGAGCTGCCCGGGACCGGGGTTCCCTCCAGCGTGCAGTGGGACAAGCTCTGCCCACTGGGTGCCAGGACGCAGACAAGCAGGTGAGGCTGGCCTTGCTCCCAGCTCTCCCGGTGGTTTCCCTGGGAGAGTGATGAGGAAGGAAAGGTCTGTTTATGGAGCGTCTGCTCTATGCCAGCAGCATGCCAGGTGCCATCACAAAGAAACCCCAGCATCCTCACCACAGCTATGGGGCAGGCATTATGAATCCCATTTTCCAGCTGGGGAAATTGAGGCTCAGAGGCTATAAATAACAGGTCCAGAGAGCACAACTGGTAAGTGGCAGAACCCAAGCATGCTGACTTCAGAGGCGGTGCTCCTTCTCCAACTCACCACAGCTGTGGGCAGGCAGAGGTGTCAAATCTGGCTCTGTGTGTGTGTGTGTGTCTGTTTGTGTGTGTGTGTGTGTGTGTGTGTGTGTGTGTGTGTGTCGTCCCGGTGGACGGTACTAAAGTAAATGTGTCGTCCTTCTTCGTCCTTCCGTCCGTCTCGTCGTCGTTCGGTTTCCTTTTCCTCCTCCGACGCCTACCGGTCGGTCTTACCGTT